GTGTGTGTGTGTGCGCGCGTGCATGAGTGCGTGCCTGCCTGCCTGCCTGCCTGTCTTCATGCATGCATATAGGCATATATCTGGAGGTCAGGATAACTTGCAAACTTTGTTGACTTTCACACATGTTGTTCCTGGGGAATCAAGCTCTGGTCAGGCTTTCTGCCTTAACCCACTGAACCTTCACACCAGCCCTTTGGGGTTTTTGGTATGTTTTTGTTGTTGGGTTTGGTTTGGTTTTGGTTTTTCAAGACAGGGTTTCTCTGTGTAGCTTTGGAGCCTGCCCTGGAACTCTGTAGACCAGACTGGCCTTGAACTCACACAGATCTGCCTCCTGAGTGCTGCATTAAAGGTGTGTGCCACCCCTGCCTAGCTCTGCCCTTTGTTGTTTTGGTTGTGAGCCTAGCTTTTAACAGCTGAGCCATCTCTCCAGCCCTGCCCTTTGTTTTTTTAAGAGTCTCTTACGTCCTACACTGACAGTGATCCTTGAGCTTCACCTCCCAAAGTACTGGGATTACATGGATATATTACCATGCCTAGTTAAGTCACTTTTAAGTGAAGAGTAGGCTTACATGACAAAAACATAAACTGCAGACCAGATGATACTGTGTACTGCTCTCAGGGGGAAGCAGAAATTCCTTGAAGGGGGTTAGATTTTCTAGTGCCTCGCCATTGAGATATGTGTTTTCACATTGGGGTCAATGGTCATTTGCATCTCAGTTACCTGCTATGCTTGCTAAGTACCAGGTTTGCTCCATCCATCTATTTAACATCCAACCATATGCTTTTTTATGCCACCAAAGACTTTGTACTTTCTCAGAATGTGGGTGCCTCCAGGTCTGTTAAGTAGCTTGCCTTACCCTTACAAGCACAGCTTTTCGCCACATGAACTCCCTAGACCATATAATTTCAACACTGAAAGAAATGGAGCAGGAGGATAGTTTGAGGTCAAGTGGAACTAAGTAGAGAATCCCTGTCTCAAAAAAAAAAAAAAAAATCCAGCCAGATGGAGTGGTATACCTATAGTCGTAGCACTTAGGAATTTCAAACAGGGGGATCATTTGAAACTACCTGTAAACATGAGGATCCCCCACACACACTTTAAAAGATTTGTAAACATGTATTATAGTGTTTGCTTCATGATCACAGTAAAATGCTGTGATCTTAAGAAAAACTGCTAGAGCTCAGTGTTGAGATGGGGCCCCAGGCTAATCTCAAAGCTGTGACCCTCTCATCCCTGCTTCCAAACACTAAGATATACCACCACATCCAGTCACTGCCTTGGTTTCTCTTTTGTGTGACTATTCAAGTGGTTCCAGCAGCATCAAGAACAAGGAGCCACCCATGGGAACCAGTGGACTAAGCTTCCATATGTCCTAATCAGCATGTTCTGCCATTAAACCTCATCCTCGGTGGCACTGTAGGGGTACACCACTGTGCCCTGGCTGGGTATCTGCTTGAGTTTACTTTGTGCATAATGACTTGTAAAACAGGCTTAGAGTTCCACGGGTGCTTTTACTTCTCACTTCTAAGCCTATAAAGTGGAGGAATTCAGTCTCAAAGGCCCTTCTGGGGCACTTGAGAGATGGCTCTGTGGTTAAGAGCACTAGCTGTTCTTCCAGAAGACCGGGGTTCAATTCCCAGCACCCGCATGGCAACTTACAACTCAGCTGTCTGTAACTCCATTTCCAGGGGATCTGATACATTCACACTGATGCACATAAAGAGTCCTAAAATGGACTTTCACAACTCCTCGTAGCTTCTTGGAATAAAATAACATGGCAATACTCAGAGAAATACATGTTCCTTTTAAGCTAACTCAAGGAAAAAGATTTTGGTCAGTTTTAGAATATACTTCTCTCAGTTTCTTATTACACATGGCCTATGCTGGAAAGAACTGAGACAAGCAGACTTGGGGCAGTGATGAACATATACAAAGTCTTTTGCCAATGACAGACCTGAAGCAGACAGACAAGATGGCAGTGCCTTTTGGCATTCAGGCTGCAACTTGGGCATGAGGAGTAAGGATCAGAGAGAGACTTCTATCACTATCTTTATGTCACAGTTTACCACTAAACACAGCCTTAGAACACACTGTTGGGATAGTCTATGCCCTCACTTAGAAGAGATGAAACTTAAAGACAGGTGCCAGACACAAAACATAACCAGCCCCACATCAGAAAATAATGTTTATTATAAAACTGTTTGCTTCATGATCAGAATAGAAAAATACTATGAACTACTAAAAGGGTTCTGGATCTCCATCTCTGAGCATGGGGGGTGGGGGTATTTGAATCAGCCTAGGAGGCCACCATCATGAGGCTCTTCATGCTCATGCAGGACAGATGTGGTACATGTACAGAGTGCTGTGGCTTCCGTCCTACTGGAAGCCCAACAAGCCATATAATCCACACAAGGAGCTCTGGCCATGATGACCAAGGAAGAGAACTTGAGGTCAGTAGGAAGCTGTTAGGAAGCCCAAGATGTCAACAGCTTTGCCTCTCCCTACCATAAAATGTCCGTGTCTCCTGCTGATGATCCTGGTTTAAGATGACGCCACTGACCTCAGGTAGGTGCTCAATGCCCAGATGTCTGTGCTAAGGAAAAACCACACAACCTTTCCCAGGCCAACTTGACCTACCACTTTTCACAAGTGTGGCTGACGTACCAGAGGATGTGGGCTGTCATCCTGATGGGCTATACCAGCTGGAATTCTTATACTTCAGATCCTGTCCATACTAAAGGCAGAAAAAAAGAAACTGTTAAAAGACCAGTGAGTGGGGCTGGAGAGATGGCTCAGCAATTAAGAGCATTGGCTGTGGGGCTGGAGAAATAGCTCAATGGTTAAGAGCACTGCCTGTTCTTCCAAAGGTCCTGAGTTCAATTCCCAGCAACCCACATGGTGGCTCACAACCACCAGTGAAATCTGGTGCCCTCTTCTGGCCTGCAGACATACATGCAGGCAGAACACTGTACATAATAAATAAATAAATGTTTTAAAAAAAAAAAAGAGCATTGGCTGCTCTTCCAGAAGACCCAGGTTCAACTCCAAGCACCCACATGGCAGCTCAAAATTGTAACTCAAGTTGTAGTGGATCTGAATTCCTCATGCAGACATACATGCAGGAAAACATGAATGTACATAAAAAATTTTAAATTACTTTTTAAAAAAGACCATTAAGTAACAGCTGTTAGCTTTAACTCTGCATATTTGAAGCTCTTAACTCTAAAAGAACCAGAAGACTATCTTCCTTAAAAAAGAAACTTTTGGGACTGAGGAGATGGTTCAGTGGGTAAAAGTACTTGCCACCCAAGCATGAAGACCATCACCCATGAAAGGAGAGATGGGATTCCTGGGGTATGTTGGGTAGCTGGACTAGCCAATTTGGAGAGCTTTGGGTTCAAGTGGAAGACTCTCCAATATATAAGGTGGAAAGTGATTGATGAAGATACCTGATATCAACCCCTGGTCTGCATGGCACACATGCGTATGCACCCATACACACAACCATCTACCCGAATATTTGTGTATACACGCACACAAGTGAACATATATATGTAGACCACACACACTCAACCTTCCTACCTACTGAAAGAAAAGCATCTCCATAGACACCCCCTCAAATCCAGTTTTCTACACCTTTCAGGCCTTCAAATACCAATGCATCCATCCCTGGGTGGGGGACCCAGCCTTCAGCAGTAATACCTGGAGAAGGTCGCCAACGTGAGCATCTCAAGCAGCAGCTCTGAACCACAAAAGAAGAGCAAAATGCTGTTCATGATAGCTTCTAGACGGAGTACATAGGTCTGCAGCAGGAGGTAATAGGAAGCCATCATGGCAGATGGGAAGGTCAAGGCCACACTAATGCTAAGAGGCATCTTTCGCTGGCAGAGGTTTCCCTTTGTACCTAAAAAACACAACCCCCAGAGTCACCTCCAAATGGTGATTGCTTTTTCTGGCATCAGCCTGTTTTTACTCACCACAGAAAGTATCTGGATGTGACAGATGGGCAGAGCAGAGAAAAACTACCCTTAGTGGGAATGTCATACTTAAAAGTGAAGTCCAACTGAACTAAAAATTTGAAGCTTCAGGGTGTTACATAATTGATGTCATTTACTCCAGAGGCTCTGCTTCCATTCTGACTCTACTCAGGGAGCAATGGGATTCTGCATCAAGGAAAAAAAAAAAAAAAATGGGAGGCAAAGACAGGTGGGTCTCTTGACTTTGAGGCCAGCCTGGTCTACATTGAGAATCTAGGGCAGCCAGGCTAAGGTGTCAGAATTGAAAGTTCAAGATTATCCTGGTCTCTTTGCTTCAAAATATCAAAACCAAAGTGTGTGTGTGTATAACATGTATGCATTTGTATCCAACAACAACTTATAAAATTGTATATATAAAATCTATGATGTATATATCTCATATATATATATACTTTTCAACTAATGAAAAATAAAATATAGAAAATGCATTAAGCCGGGCAGTGGTGGCACATGCCTTTAATCCCAGCACTCGGGAGGCAGAGGCAGGTGGATCTCTGTGAGTTCGAGACCAGCCTGGTCTACAAGAGCTAGTTCCAGGACAACCCCCAAA